CAGAAGGCTGGCGGTTCAAACCCACCAGCCACTCCTCGGAAGGAAAGTTGGGCAATATACTTCCATAGTGATACCTCCTTGGAAACCCAAGGGGGGGTCGCTATAAGTTGGATCCAACTCCACGGCAGTGTGTTTGGTTTTTTTTTTCTTTTTTTTTTTTTGGTTTGGTTTGTTCTAAGGGCAAGGGGAAGATTTTGAAAGATTTAAATTATCTATGTGCCTGAGGGAAAGAGAATCAGAGTTTCAAAACATCACTATCGCCGAAAGCAAAGAGGACTTAAAGCACTTACTGATGAAGATCAAAGACTACAGCCTTCATTATGGATTATACCTCAACATAAAGAAAACAAAAATCCTCACAATTGGACCAATAAGTAATGTCATGATAAATGGAGAAAAGATTAAAGTTGTCAAGGATTTCATTTTACTTGAATCCACAATCTATGCCCATGTCAAAAAATCAAATGACATATTGCATTGGACAAATCTGCTGCAAAAGATTTCTTTATAAGTGTTGAGAAGAAAAAAAAAGCAAAGATGTCATTTTGAGGACTAAGATGTGCCTTATCTAAGCCATGGTATTTTCCTCACCTCCTATACATGCAAAAGCTGGACAATAAGTAAGGAAGACAGAAGAATTGATGCCTTTGAATTTTGGTGTTGGCAAAGAATATTGAATGTACTATAGGAGCTCTGGTGGCATAGTGCCTAAGGCATCTGACTGCTAATCAGAAGACTGGTGGTTCAAACCCACCAGCCACTCCTCAGAAAGAAGACTGGGCAATCTACTTCCATAGAAATACCACCTCAGAAACCCAAGGAGAGGTGGCTATGAGTCGGAATTGACTCAATGGCAGTGAGTTTGGTTTTGGGTTTGATGGACTGCCAGAAGAACAAACAAATCTGTATTGGAAGGAGTACAGTCACAATGGTTCTTAGAAGCAAGATGACAAAACTTTATTTCACATACTTTGAACATGTTATCAGGAGGAACCAGTTCATGGAGAAGGACATCATGCTTGATAAAGTATAGGGTCAGGAAGAAAAGAAGAAGACCCTTAAAGAGATGGTTTGATGCAGTGGCTGCAGCCGTGAGCTCAAATATAACAAGGATCATGAGGATGGCACAGGATTGGGCAGTGTTTCATTCTGTTGTGCATAGGGTTGCCATGAGTCACAACCAATGAGAAGGCACCTAATAACCACATAGCAACAAGGTGAAGCATGACATGAGACAAGAGTGGATGACAGGAGAAGACATATGGAGGCACATGCAGTGATGATGGTTGCCAGAGCTAGCTAGGACTTGACAATGGAAATGGAGAAGAATAGAGAAGGAAGGGTCCTAGAGGGCTAGAGATGGGGGTACAAGAGAGGGGACAGTTAAAGATGATTTGAGCAACTAGGTAAATGACACTGTGATGAGGAACAGTGGGATTGGAGCAGCTTGGTGGCAGGGAGATCCTTTGGGTCTCATTTTCCGTAAGATATCTAGTCTAATCGATAGTTGCTGTTACAGATTGATTTGTGCCCCCCCCCCCAAGAAGACATATTCTGTCCTAAGTCCCAGTACCTATGAATGTGACTTTATCTGGAAATAGAGTCTTTGCAGGTACAAACAGTCAACATGAGGTCATACTGGAGTAGGTGAGCCATTATATGGTCTTAAGGAGCTCTGGTAGCATAGTGCCTAAGGCACTTGACGGCTAACCAGAAGGCTGGCGGTTCAAACCCACCAGCCACTCCTCGGAAGGAAGATTGGGCAGTCCTACTTCCGTAGTGATACTGCCTCGGAAACCCAAGGAGGGGTCGCTATGAGTCGGGGCCAACTCGACGGCATATAACAACAACAACAACATGGTGTCCTTATAAGAAGAGGATAGGTAACAGATAAACACAGAGGGAAGATGCCCATGTAAAAATGAGACAGAGATTGGAGTTGAGCTGCCACAGCCAAGAACTGCCTGGGGCTACAAAATAGAAGAGACATGAAAAGATCCTCCCTAGAACCTTCCTCGGAAGGAAGGTTGGGCAATCTACTTCCATAGTGATACCGCCTCAGAAACCCAAGGAGGGGTCACTATGAGTTAGACCCGGCTCAATGGCAGTGAGTGAAAGCCTTCAGAGTGAATATGGCCCTGTTGATACCTTGATTTCAGACTTCTAGCCTCTAGAACTGTGAGAGAATAAACTTCTGTTGTTTTAAGCCAGCAAGTTTGTCTGATTTGTTACAGCAGCCCTAGGAAACTAATCCAGCTGCCTCCCCAGATGTGACACTCAGTAAGGGCAGCCCAACTGGAAGTTTAGAGCTGAGAGACAATAAGATACAGTTCAAAACTGAGGCTGTGGAAAGAGAAGATGGGCCTAGGAAGAGAGAGTAAGAAGAAAAAGAAGACTTAAACCTGAAGAAACTCAACACTAAATAGGTGGAAGAGAAGCCACCTAAGGATACCAGGAAGGAGGGCCCAGAGAAAAATAGGAAAACCAGAAGGGTGTCATGTCATGCAAGCTGAAGGAAAGCACTTGCAGACACTCCAAAAGGTCACTACAATTCAGCCACCAAATGTGCTGTGAATCTCAACCCTGCTGTGTGTGAGAATTACCTGAAGACATTCTTAAAAATTAAAAATGCCTAATTCTTGCCTGGGAGCTCTGGTAGCATAGTGCCTAAGGCACTTGACTGCTAACCAGAAGGCTGGCGGTTCAAACCCACCAGCCACTCCTCGGAAGGAAGGTTGGGCAATCCTACTTCTGTAGTGATACTGCCTCGGAAACCCAAGGAGGGGTCGCTATGAGTCGGGCCGACTCGACAGCACATAACAACAACAACAACAAATTCTTGCCTCATATCTGCTGAATTGGACTCAGATCTTGTTATCAGAGTATGATATGTGGACCAGCAACATTGGCATCACCTGGGAGCTTGTTACAAATGCAGAATTTCCAGCTTCTCCCCCGACCTGCTGAATGAAGGGACTCCTTAAGAAGGGCTAGAGAGGGACTGACTGCCCAGGGTGAGTCCCAGGTATCTTTCTTTGTTAAAAGTGCTTAGGTGACTCTGCTATGTAAGTAACACTGATACATATCCAGAGTTAGGAAACACTGGCCTAATGCACTGGACCAAACCAAAACCAAACCCAAGTTGATTCCAATTCATAGAGACCCTATAAGGATAGGGTAGAACAACTCCATAGGGCTTCCAAGGCTGTAAATCTTTATGGAAGCGGAATGCCAAATCTTTCTCCCAAGTAGTGGATAGTGTGTTTGAACTGATGACCTTTTGGTTAGCAACCAAATGTTTAACCACTGAGCCACCAAAGTTCATTGTGCATTGGACAGCACCAAACTAATCTATAGGATCGTAGCAAGTTACAGAAAGCCAAAGCTATTAGTAAAATTGGTAGATGGATTCCTGTTGACACTTTATCTCGCTTTTTCTTCATCATCCTCCAACCTCTGCCTTCTGTAATTTTAAAATACAGCTCACGCTGAACACTTCAGTTCTACCTCCCTGTATGAGGCTGTCATTGTCAGATCAGCATGTTTTCATCTCAGTATGAAAAAGCCATCAGATCCCACTTAGCACATCTCTGCCAGCCCCATTCTCATTAATAAGTCTGGGGAAGGGGGAGGCAAAGATGATCTCAACATCAGCCACCAGACTAGTGAGAGAGAAGAGAACTAAACAGTAACACTTCACCTTCTTAAAACCTAGTGGTGAAATGAATACCTGGATCCTGAAGTCAGTTCAAGAAACATGAAGAAAGAAACTGTCTGTGAGGAGCCAAAATAGAGGCTACAAAATCCATGTGCTTTATTCATTTGAAAAAATAAAATAAAAATCCCCTTTGGCCCTTACTCTAATTAACATTGTTATTTAACAAAACGTTGTTTTCATTTTAAAAGACATAATGAACTAATCTGCTGACATCCGGAGGGAAAATCTCTCTTCAGCAGTGCTTCCCAAATTTTAATGTGCCCGCCATCACCAGGGATCTTCTTAAAATGCAGATCGGATTCTGTAGGTTTGGGTGGAGCTTGAGAGTCTGAATTTCCAGCACACCATTGCCAGCGGGCAGCTAGCCCAGAAGAACACTACTGCCACCTGGTGGCTACAATTCATACTGCAAGCCTAGACCTAGGAACAAGCCTGGGCCCCAGGAGGGAACACCTGGCCAATTCAACCCTATTTGGGAAACACCAACATGATGAACCACAGAGCAATTCTGTTTCTCTTCAGCTTTATCCTAGGTTTTAGTGGCATCTTTAAACTCCACTTCTGGATTTTATTTGCTTCCTTCAACCTACATCTCAAGGGTCATGCTGAGTATAGGGAGTTTGTACTGGGAAAGCCAGCTGAACAGGAAGAATTGGCAGACACTGAATGTCCAGGCAGACAGGAGGTAGAAGCTTGGGAGATCTACCAGTGAACAGAGGCACAGACAAGTGTCCAGAGTGCAGATGGAGACGAGCCGGCCAGGTTCAGAGGATCTCTGTCATCTCTGACCTCTCCTCTAGTTTTGACAACCATGCACCTTTACAAGATAATGAACTGCATTTTCAGAAGTAACTTGCCTCTTTAATCCACTAATTCTGCACTATTCCTTATCAATAAATACTTCTGCCTAAAGCTTTATGGTCAGATGTCCATCTCTTGCTCTTATTTGGAA